TTCCTTCTCAGGTATATATGTTACTGAAAAGTTTTGCAAATATGGTCATAGAAAAAGATACAGAAAACATTGGCTTTATTACTGCTCACAGAGGGTAGTGGCATTTGGCTCCAGTTTCTGAACCATGTATAATTTATTTAGTCTGGTTCTTGTATTCATTCATTTTTTTTTTTTTTTTTAACATCAAAGTCTTGATGATTGTGGCAAATCAAGAAGGATCAACTAAAACAAAATACAAGGCAAGTGGAATAGTTACCAAAAAATATCTTAACTTTTTTTCACACTGTATGCGACTTCATTTGCTTTGCAAAAAGTTTATCTTACCACTGAAGGTGACTGGTCCCTGAATATGAATTGCATAGTTGTGCTGTCATATCCTGCTACGGCAACAGAAAACACCTTTGAGTGAAATTAACAATAAGGTTACTGCAACTGAGAAGCCTTGAAAAGGAAGTAATAATGTAAAATGCTAAAAGTTTTAATGTCTGTGCTTTTACCAGAAAAATAATCAGGGTTCATTGTTGACCCCTACACTAGGGAATAGATCCTCAATTCAAAGCTAAAACTGCTTTTAATCTTCTTGCAGATACAAAGACAGGTGTCAATCTTGCAAAAAACAAAAACTCATACAAGTTTATCAAAACATGCTAATTGTTTCCATTTTTGTGTATAAACACTAGTAGTTGGGTGCAATTTTTATTACAGAAAGCCCTTAATATAGTTTTCACTTTATTAATTGTTAAACTCTGTATAGAGTTTGTATAGTGTTTTGCTTGATTTATACAGCAAGAAGTCTTCTTTTTTATCTAGAACCAGTGTTTCTTGTCTATTATTTTTGATGCCATTCCACATCAGAGAGCAATGTCTTAATATTAGTCCAATTCACTAAGGGATTTTTTTTTTTTTTTTTTTAAGTGGGAGGGGGCATATATTTTATCTTGTATAATTAATCCCCCCCACACACACACACTTTTTTTTAAGATAAAGGAAATTAATTTTTCTGTCAAGATAAATCATAAATCTTTTGGATAATTGTTACAACATTCACAGTTTAACAGAAACAGAGTTGAGCTTGCACAATAAAACCAACTTTTGTTCTTTTTGGAACTCCATGAAGAATTTTAACCTCACTATGGAACTTTATTGATATTATTTGTACATTTTATTTTAAGAAAATTAAAATAAATCATTTTTTTTATTAAAGAAATAAGGGTTTATCTCAAGAGACCTTGGTCTGTATTTAAGAACAAAAATGCCTGCAAAGCGTAATATTTTGCATTTAGAAATGATGCCAAAAATGGATTAGAAGCCATAGGAATAAGATCATGATTTTTTTGGATAAATACAAGGCCAATTCCATCGAAAACTTATATTTGGTACCTGGCATAATGTTCTAAATGTGGGTAATGCTCACCTTCAACATATGAAAGGAACTGACTACCTCATCATACTTATTATAAAACCCAGTGTGTGCATGTGTCTGTACGTTTATATATTGGATCGGATTTCCTACATTTTTCAACCAATTTCAACAAAACTTCACAGGACTACGTAAATTACCTTGCGGTGGTTCTGACAGCACCAAAAATTTGAAAAAGAATTGGTTTTGCATGAAATCAATTTAAAAACACAATTAAGAGGCATCACTGTTTCGAGAATGAAAGGGGGACAGCTCATATCGAGTTATACTTATTATAAAACTCAGGTTGTTTGTGTGTGTGTTCGTTTATATATGGAATTGGATTTCCTACATTTTTCAACTGATTTCAACAAAACTTCACTTTTTTTTTGGCAGGTAGTGTTTCTTATTGTCTTGCACACTTTTTTCTTTATTTTTACATTCAGAATGCTTTAAAAATTCCATTTACAAGACAATTGTTTATAATAAAATTCTATTCAATCGGTAGACTCATAATGATTGAAAACAATGTTTTTGTTTGGGTTTGACCAATTCGTAAAAAAAAAAAAAACTAATTAAGACATGCGTGTCCGTCAACCTTAAACAATAATCTTTGTCAATTTTATTTTTCAGTCTTTATGATGGTTGATACTTGATCTATCTGTTACTGTTACATCCCCGGGCAACGCCGGGCTCTACTGCTAGTCTTAAATATCTTCAAGAATAATTTTCTTACATTTTACAGATTTAACTTTTTTTTTTTAATATTTGGGAATTTACATATGCTATAAAAGAGAAAAAAGAAAACTGTTTGACATTTTTTGTTAGTATTATTGTAGTTGAGAGTCTAGAGACAAAGAAGCAGGTGAAATATAACAAAAAAATTGCTTTAATTTCACTAAACTTTGTGTTGTAGTGCCCCAACATTCACTTGATATAGGCCTTTTTTTTTTCTTTTTAATTAAAAAAAAAAAGTTTCAAATTAAAGCTTCTAGTAAAACAAGGCAGAAAAATATATCTCTCCAGAACTGATCATCTAAAAGAAAATTAAACAGGAATAAGTTTTGCTTAAATTCAAACAATTTGACAAATACTTGGAATTAGGACAAAGACTAGTTCTGAAATCCTGAAAGCGTCTTTCAGACTAGAGAAAGCACATTTCATATGGGAAATATTCCAATAATGTCAAATGCCCGCTTACAAGACTCATGTGGGGGAAAAAAAAAAAAAAAAAAAAAACTTTATTTCTAAAGAAGAATTCCTGAACTAAGAGTCAATGTTTTTTTTTTTTAAAATAGAAACAAAAAATATCTTCATAACTGCCTTTTATATATATATATATATATATATATATATATATATATATATATATATATATTCCATATATATATAAAATGAGAAATGAATCGAGTCCAGTTATTTACTAACACCTGTTGAGGTGTTAATATGCATTGAAACATAATTGTGTTTGTGTAACAATTTTTTTTTTTTTTTTTTGATGTAAGATTATATATATATATATATATATATATATATATATATATATATAGTGTGATAGGTAAATTGCAGCCATTTTATATTTTTAATTTCATGCATTCATATTAGTTTGTTTTTGATTTTGTCAACTGCACAGTATAGTAGGGGATGATTAGGTGCACAGTTGAGTGAGAGACCAACAAAACTACTTGTAAGACCAAAGATGAATTGAAGGCAAGGATTATGGTAGCATTCACCACCATGAAAACCATCCAAAAGAGTTGCGGGAGATTCTGAAGTCGTCTGGAGGCCATGTTTGAAGGCAATGGAAATTTTATTGAATAAATTTACTTTTTAGTATTTCAAGATATTTTTATGTAATTTTGGTAAATATATCTGTTAAAATGAGATGTCAGTGGCATCTTCCTTTTTGTGTAATTTAGACCAACTTTTTGACTTGCGAACCCTTTATATTTCAGGCTTTACTTTAGGGACCCCCTTATAAACGCTTATGAAATTTATACATAAATATTTGCTGAATATAACATAATTTTGCATTAATGCAATAAAAGCTGGTTTAAAGCTTACTTTAGACATAAGTGTTCAAATAAATTAATGCTGCATGTTGCTGCAAAATGTAACAAAATTAAATTTTGTTATATTAAAATATTAATTTTACATGTAACTGAAAACAGTAATAGTATTTAACAAATAGTTTTATTGTCAATGACACACAGAGGATTTTTAATACACACTTAGTGAGAAGGATGTGCTTGTTTGGCTTTGCACAAACTGTCAATTCTTGGCGATATTACTGATAAATATACATGTAAGTGATTTTCTGGAGCAAGTCTGGATCTGTATTTGTTTTTCAGATTGGTTAGTGCCAAAAATCCTGCTTACTTGCTTACTCGTCCAACAGCCTTGCACTTCTACATGCAAAATGTCTCCCATTTGAAGATTTGTACACGTGACACCTAACAGCCAATGAGAAAGCTGGAAATCGCAAAATAGATCCAAAATTCAAATCCTTTGGTTCCTTCTCTGCATGAATAGAATCCATTATCTTTATCAATTTAAGATACAAATTATATTAGTATATCAAATCTATGAAAGTTTATTGAATCAATTTATTTCATGATCAGCCTATAAATTACTTATAAGTGGTTATCACCCATAAAAAAGTCTTTGCTGTCCACGGACCCCCTATCTTGTCCTTACGGACCACAGTTTGAAAACCCCTGATTTAGACGTCAATTTATCCATGGCACCATATATATATATATATATATATATATATATATATATATATATATATATATACATACAAAAAAACTTAAAAATCAGTAGGTCAGTTGACTCTGCTACTTTGGTTTCAACCTTATGGTATCCTTAGGTGATTTTTATCAAATGCTTTATTTTAAAAAAAAAAAAAAACACTAATGAACGCCATATTATTTTCAAAAATAAATAGACAAATGCATGTTGGGTGTAATGGAAAGGAAGGAGAAGAATGTGAAGAAGGAAGACGAATAATAACAAGAGGGTAGAGATAAAAACGCGAGGGTGTTATAAGTTTATTGGTGGGCGGTGGGGGGGTAATCGAAATCCACATTACTTTTTTTTTTTTTACTCTATTGACCTTTTGTGTGTGTGTGTGTGTGTGTGTGTGTGTGTGTGTGTGTGTGTGTGTGTGTATATATATACACACACACACACACACAAACTAGAGACTAATTTATTTACATCTGAATTTCTAGCATGAGGCATGATCCTTATTTACATTGGGACTAATGTCCTCATCTTTGTTGTTTTAGCATTTGTGCCTTGATGCTTTCTTCAGGTATCTGCTGATTCAGCTAACCTTCAATTGATTGTGAGCCGTAAAAAATGAAATCAAACTTTTTAAGGTTACTTAAAGCCAAAACATTTTTAGATTGCAAGATATTTTATTTTATTTATTTTTGAGAAAAATGATTTTCTCTTACAAGTCCCACTATTTAATCTATTGCTGGGAGAAGGCCTGGATTCGTTCCCGTCCCAAGGATATTTGCACACGAGAATTTGAACTCTGCTTTCTGATTTCCAATTCAGAGTTGTTACCCACTACACCTACACATCCAAGCTTACAGCACCTGTTCATCCCAAACAGTCATATATCTAGGTACTGACCAGGCTCAACATTGCTTAACTTCAGTAATCAGATGAGAACCAATGTTTCAATGTGATATGGCCATGTCTCCAGGAAGCCTTCAAGGAATTTTGAGCTGAATGCTTTAACATGTGTGTGTGTGTGGGGGGGTAAATTGTTGTCATTCTACTGTCCACATCGAGGAAAGTCTTGTCTTATTCATTTTAGCACTGCTCAGTTATTGCTCCCTTGTGTTTCTACAGAGTCTAGGTCTATACTACCCAGCTCAAGGATTGAACCCTCAGTAACTATATTAACAAATTCATGAACCCAATGCATTCATCCATTAGGCTATTGTCCTGGTTATAATCCTGGTGGGATGCAAGCAAGTATGAACAATGAAGCAAGTTCAAATTCTAGCACTAAGAAATATTTGAACAATGACATCATTTCTTCAATGGATGTCTCAAATTCTAACCTTATAAGGGAACCAGTGTGAGAATTCAAAAACAAAATATGGCAAGATTGTTCTTTTTGTTATTGTATGTCCATCTTTAAGAAGTTTACAACTTTTTCTTTTTAAAAAAAGATTTACTAATTCTTCAACTTTTATAATGAACCAAAAATGAATTAATTTTGGTTTTGATTTTCAAAAAGTCCAAACAAAATAAAATTTCCAACAAATACTTTTGATCGGACTTGAGGATTTAAAACAAAAAATTCAGTGACATCATCATTCATCAAACAAATAAAACATGTTCATTAATCAAGAAAACAACTGAAAAACATTACCAATCAAATCCGTTGGATTCAGTTTTCCAATTGAGAATTTGGTTAATGAAATAAAACTTCAAATGTTTATTTCAAACAAAATATTGTCAAAATAACACATACATTTTAGGTTTTGAAAAGTGTGTTCAATTTAAATACTGAGATTTTTAATAGACATGAAAATAAGATTTTTTTTTTTTATCTATTACTGGTGTTCCACATTTCAGTATTTTCAAAATGGACTTTATATTTTATATTTTAGCAACCCTCCTCTCAAATAGTCCTTTAGGATTTCAAACTAAAATATGTTTGTCTACAGATTTTTTTTTTTTAATTGTTCAAACTTCCCCAGGGACACAACGCCATTAAAAAATAAATAGACAAATGATTTAAAAAAAGGGGAGAAGAATGTGAAGAGCTAATGTAGAGATAAAAACGAGGAGTTATATACTGGGGGTAATCAGAAATCCATTACTTTTTTTTTACTCTATTGACCTTTTTGTGTGTGTGTGTGTGTGTGTGTGTGTGTGTACAGTATAAAACATGGTCATCTGAATTTCTAGCATGAATATCTTATTTACATATAAGGTTGGTTATTTAATCTGTTTCATAACCTTCAATTGATTGTGAAAAGAAAAATGAAATCAAACTTTTTATAGACAAAATTTTATTTATTTTTGAAAAATAACAAGTCCCACTAAATCTAATTTTCCAAGGATAAAACATATGAAGAATAAATTTAAAATATCAAAGAGACTAAAATGATCTAATAGATGAGAACCAATACTTTGTGTGCCATGTCTCCAGGAAGCCTTCAAGGACAATGCTTTAACATGTGTGTGTGTGGGGGTAAATGTTTTCTCCCACATCGTTTTCTTATTCATTTTAGAAATATTTTTTCTTTCATTATACCCCCTCATTGAACCCTCAGAACTATCCATTTCTTTCATCCATTAGGATGTCTATGGATGAAGCATATGAACAATCAAGTAAATTCTAAAACTTTTCATTAATTCTGACATCCATTTCTTCAATGGATGTCTATGGAGATATAGCAATCAGTAACAAAACTTATAAGAAGTCTGAACATGTTAAGAACAGTGTGAGAATTCAAAAAACAAAATAAAAAAAATGCATGAACAAGATTGTTCTTTTGTTATTGTATGTCCATCTTGAAGAAAGTTTACAACTTTTTTCTTTTTTAAAAAAAAAGATTTACTAATTCTTCAACTTTTACATCTTCAAATTCCATTCCAATTCAAAATGAATGAGACAATTTTTGGTTTGAAGCTCTTTTCAAAAAGTAAAAAGGTTTCTTCCTCAAAACAAAATCATTTTTAAATTTCCAACAAATACCGATTTACTTTTCTCTGATCGGACTTGAGGATTTAAACCAAAAAATTCAGTGACATCATCATTCATCAAACTGAACATAAAACATGTTCATTAATCAAGATGAACAACCAAAAGATGACGTCACAACATTACCAATCAAATCCGCTGGATTAGCAGGATTTTCAGCTTCTCTAATTGTTATACAATCAGATTATATTTGCTTAATGAAATAAAACTTCAAATGTTTATTTCAAACCAACAATATTGTCAAAATAACACATACATTTTATGATTTGTATATTCCTTTTATGTATACAAGTGTGTTCAATTTAAATACTTTTAAAAGAGATTTTTTAATAGACATGAAAAATAAGATTTTTTTTTTTTTTATCTATTACCGGTGTTCCACACATTTCAGTATTTTCAAAATGGACGTTTATATATTTTATATTTTTAGGAAAATCTTTGACAAATCAGAAAAAAGAATTTCTGCTCAACATGTTTCATCCTTTAGGATTTCAAACTAAAATATGTTTGTCTATATTTCTGAGATGAAGTATTGTAACTATTTACACTATTTACATTGTTCAAACTGTCCCCAGGGACACATGGCCCAGTGGGTAAAAGCGTTGGTTGAAGTAATTCAAAATTGACTTGACCCAAAGAGCACAGCAGAGGTGAACAAAAACTTGAATTAACTGAAACTGAGATGTCCAGAAAAGGCATAACACATGAAACTAAAACAATCTACCACCGTGGACTAAAAATAGAGGGTCCAGTTTGAAATTCTAATGTATATCACCTGAAGAAGGCCAGAGTGTACAATGGTTAAAACATCATGATTATTACAATAAAGATGAGGACAACAGTCTGAATGATGCAAATAGTGTAAATAAAGTAATGTTTACATGTGTAATTATTATTGGCATTGAAATCAGCAAGCTCATTTGTTACATTTATTTTTCTCCTATTGTTCTTGGGAAAGGTGCTACATCTCTCCTGCCCCTGCCTATGGGTTAATTAAGTAGATTAAGTTCTCTACTCTTGGGCAGCAGCGAGAAGAACAACTTTGAATTGAAAACTGGATAAAGCAAATGGATGTGAACTATTTTTGGCAAGATGACATTGCAATTCACAAAAGATAAAAAAAGGAAACTGTGAAGAGCTATGATCTTACATTCTGAAGTTATATAGGATTCAGAAAATAAAAAAATAAAAAATGATCTTCTAAATACAATTCATCTACCTGAAGAATATGCCCAAATCATCATCCCTCCCCCTTCCAAGACAAAAAGAAGAAAAAGCCATTTCAAAATGGTCTCCATAAAGGAATTTTCATTGATGATTACCTTGAAAATGAAGTGCCCAAGAGAAGAACAGAGAAAGATAGCATTCTCTGAAAAGTTCTAAAAATATTTCATAGTCAATTTTTAAACTTTGGGGCAAAATATACAAAAATTGTTATTGTAAAAATAAGTAGTTTAATAGATTCTAAAGTTTGCTCTTTAATTTTTGAACTGAAACTATTAAGAAAATAAACAAGTTTTTTTTTTGCAGGGAAGGGGATTTTCAGATTTTCTTCAGATATCCTGCATCCTTTTTAGAAGGTTCCATGAAATTATTTAATCTGACAGTCTATGTTGTTCTCATTCCTATCACAACCAGTGCCTTAAAGTAATTTTCAGAATTCATCAGTGTTGTATAATATTAGTTTTAGCCAATAACCCTATTCTATGAATAACATATGCCTTTAGTTCCTGACCAGTGATAATGCCTTCATGGTTTGTACTACACAACATAAAAACTCATTAAAACTAACTTCAGGTTAAAGTTGGTGATCTTAAAGAGAACCTTAATCTAAGCCAGTCAGAAACCGAGTGAGGCGCAGAGCCATTCGGAAACTGAGTATGTGTTTATCAAAAGTACAGTTGGGATTATTATATACGCCAGATTTTTTTTTTTTTTTATTATTATTATTATAAATGTAATGATTAGATTGAATGAACATTTTGAGACATTTTCCCAATAAATCTTATTCATTCCATCAGAGGCTCATCATATAAACAGCGTCTAGATAATAAGATGTCAGGTTAGCGCCAATGACAAGGACTGCTTGACAATTTGTGTCGTATGAAACTGTTCATAGAAGATGAAAGAAAGCAATCTGACTTCATCTGGCCAAGGCCAACCTATTAGGATGCTGACAATGGCAACGTTGCCTTAGAAAATATAAATCAGACAATGGAAATAATGACATTAAAGAGAAATTATTTCCATCTCGATAAATTCCTTAAGACAATACATAAATAATGGATGAAAAATAACAAAAATTACACACTATGTAACACTCTTTTCATCCACTGCTTATAATCCTATTGACATTCCGGTGAAGAGAGCTTGAAAGTGTTTGCTTAAAAACTAAAGATGGTCAACGCATAAGATGAAAACTAAACATCTTGGACTCATTCCCAATTATCCCAGTTTTTTTTTTCTTATTTCTCTGTCTGAATGCACAATACTGACAAATAAACAGCCATTATCATCTATTCTTTGTAGTTGTGCCTTCTCAAATAAAATAAATTGATCTTTCAAAAATAAAAATGTCTGCATTATTCAGTTGAGTGAACCGGTTTTTATTTTTGACAAAGACATTTTTTTAAAAAGTACTTTTTAGCAAAATGTAGGATAAATTTAAATTCTTTTTCCTTGAGAAGGTGTGTACAGCCTTTCACACAAATCCCTGAATGTCTGGTCAGTATATTTACCAAGCTTAACAGGGTACAAAGCCAAACAAAGGTCTTTTCTTTTAAAACTAAATTTCACCCAGTAAAAGGCTCAAGAGCCACTCAAGACAGGCTGAAGTGGTAATAATGAATGAGATTTGAGACATGATAGAAAGAGAAGATTATGAGGATAGATAATGGTTGACCCGCCCAACTTGATTAAAGTGTTTAGGGAAGCACTCCTGCAAATGCCAGTTCTTAGGGAAAGAGTCAAAC